ATGTAACCCACTGCTAAAAATATTTCCCATAATTCATTGTGTAATGCTTTTCTGAGGCTGATTCAAACTGTTGCTTTCACTTTTTTTTTTGTTTTTTTTGTTTTTTTTCTTTTAAGAGATTATTTAGGTTTAATGGATCCTGTGAGGAATTTATTTCTGATACTCTGTTTTTTGCCTTAATTTTTCATTTTCCTTTTTCTAAATTAAACTTTTGGAAATCATACCCATTCTAGAATTAATTAGTACAACCTTAACAGTTGACTTTCAAACTTCTGAATGGCTTTATTTTCAATTTTATAAAATTCAGTATTCCAAATTCACCATGTGAGAGCAAAACCTAGAAAAACTTGTAGTTTATTTAGGCCCCTGTGGTCTCAATATGCAAGCCCTAAGACACCTAATAGAATGAATGGTTTTATAGACAGTTGACGATAGCACTTGAAGGATGTTCTACATGTTGTTTATGCAAACACTGGCTGGTAAATAATTTTTCAAGTTAATTATTAGACTGAAGCAATTATATTGTCACATCTAAAACTCCATACCAGTAAAAGTATATTTTGCACAGGTTTAATTTTCCTGTCCCTTTACTTTTCTTCTGCTCAATTTCCTGATGAAAAAGGTAACATGATCAAACTGTAAGATTATTTTTTTTAAATTTTGGCAGCTTTTGAAGGGTTTGTATGTGATCTGATCTCTTTCAAAATGACATTTTTTTTAGGAGATTCATCAGTCTGAGAAAGCTGTACTAAAATATGTACAGAATTCCTCAGGATTTTTTCTGCAATGTCACAGTAATGGCAGTGTTCCTAAAAATTCAGATCTACTCTAGGGTCACATATAAGGACAGATAGATGGAAGAAAGTATTTTTAAGTAGCCATTGTTGCAACTTCTAAAAAGTATATCTGTTGAGTGGTTTAACAACATACTGTCACTGGAGAGACTGGTTCCATTAATCCGTGAAAATGAACCATAAAACCAGGACCTCTTCTCTATTGGAGCTATGGACATATGGACATTTGTGATTGACATTACAGACTTTCATTCTCCATTATCTAACCAAGGCAGCGGACAGTTTTGCTTTTGCTTTAGCTTTAGAGACCTTTTGTCCTAGTATGTTGTCTTCCTACTGAAAAAACTTGTGTTTTAGTAGCTGGTGACCTAATTGATACTCCAGTCCTCAGCCTTGAATCACAGAGAGAGCAAACATGTCTTTGATGTTTAAATCCATTATTCTTAGAGCTGGATTGTTTCTGGGGCTTTTCTTGGAGGAGGGTGAGGATGGAGCTGGCTTTATTTTGTTCTTCAGGAGGTTAACAGTGCTGGAATTTGAGTAATTTTTGGTTATTTATTAGGAGATTTTAATTCTATGTAAATCACTTCTGATACAATGCATCTTACTAAGCTTTAGCTATTACACTGAACATCTCGCTGGTCATTTAGATTCCCCTATAGTTATTGGTGAAAGTAATTTCCAGGAACAGTATGTACATAAAGCTCAATGCCCAAAATGGCATGAATTATAGAGTTATCTTAGCTGATTGTCTTAGTGTATGTGATTAACTTTTAGATGGTTACCTGAAGGTGAGCTGAAACCTACCTTAAAACTGGAGGCAAATAGCACAGTAGTTTTGATTTCCTAGAAAGGGCTGTATACCCAGAAAAGAACAGAGAGTTTGCTTGCTGTTGATAGATTCTTAAAGTAGTATTCATTTCTTTGAGTTGCAGCTATGCAGTGTAAAGAGGTATGATTAATGCATGAGCTAGAATGTGTAATGTCACTTCCACAGATATTAAAGTGTAAAAATTTTAAGTATATGACCTCTCACTTCAACTGGGATTAAAAAAAAAGTGTTTAAGGGAGTTAGTTAGGCATTCATCCTTTTGTAAGCTGCTGTGAAGCTTACCCTTCTAAGAATCCTTTAAACTGCTTAGCCTTAAAATTAAATGTTTATTATCCCAATTTTTGTATAGATAATATCATGCTGCCTATGTCTCAGAGTGCTCTCTTACAGCATCATATTTTCATAGTTCCTAGGAGAAGGAGAGCAGAAGGAAAATAATTCAGCTGAGCTCTGTGGCTGTATATAGTTACAGTATATAGTTATCAAGTGTTTACATTGTTCTTTTGCAGTAGTGAACCCACTGTAACATGGCACCTAACTTTTTGTATTACTGCAAAATACAATATGAAGGAAATTGGTCAAATTATTATTGAGTTAAAGGTCATTAATGATTACCATAAATACTGAATTTCTCAGAAGCAGCTCCCATTTTTAGGATGGCAGCTAAGATATGGTCACAATTTCTATTTTAAAATTTATGACTTGGCAAGTCCAGGGTGTGCAAAATGCTTTTTTTTTTTTTTTTTGCTATGAATAAGCAGAAACAAAAAGTATGACCAGTTCTTACTGTAGTCCAGCTTAGAGATAAGTTCTTAGCACCATCTTTAAGGAGGTGCTATAATTAAATCCAGGGCAAAAGTCTGACTTTTCTAATAAAAGAGAATTTATGAAAAGACAGTTTATAGCAGGCATTTTGAGTGACAAGGACATGAAAAAAGGAAATGTTGATTCTAGTAGCAGCTGTGTACAGGAGGAGGCAGATGTCTTGCATAAGTAAAAGCATAAGGACAGTTTTGCTGGGCATCTATTTGAGATATTAGACTTAGAAAAAAGATACGAGTTCTGCAATTATAAAAGTTTATTTGGGTTGAGAAGTACTGGGCTCTGTGAGTGTCATGATGACTATATGTGTGTATACATGAGGTGTGTATCTTGTGTACATCAGATTTGCTGCACACAAGAGATGCTATTTTACATTTTGTCACAAGAAAAGAATAAATAGCAGAATTAAGCCTGCTTCTGAAATATGTCCTACATTTAAAAGATTACATATAAGAAATCTGAAATGCCTTTATGCCTCCATTTGTTCCTTTTCTTTTGTTGTTGTTTTAAATGTTTGGTTTTATAACTTGAAACATGTTAAAAGTTAAGACAAGCTTTTATTTTAACGGCCTGCCCTAAGACCAGGATCTTGTCTGGTTTTAAGCCCAAAGCACTAAACTGCACTGTTAATTGAAGTGTCCAGATTTTTAAAAGTTTGGATACCTGTAACTGAAATCATCAGCTTTCGGAACGCTGTCTTGGAAAAGTAGCGACACAACACTGAGTCAGATGTCCTAGATCTTCAGAATTCTCCTTCTGTAATATAGCATATTGTTTGATTCCTTAGGCAGTATTTAAGAACTTTCATATGCCCATCTTTCAATAATGCTGTTGAAGAACAAGTCTCTAGTTGAACACAGACACCCAAATTAGGATTTCCAAGTTATGTGCAATTTTGATATGATAAAAAATCATTTGGCATTATAGGTATAGGTGCTTTATGCTATATTTTGTAAACAGATGAGCAAAACCTGGTTCTGATGTACAGTTTATCATAAAAGATAATTCAATGATAAATCATCAGATTATTTTTTGTAATGACATATACGATACGTACTCCACATTTTAAATTAGAAACAACTTCAAAATATGAACACAGTGTGTGTTACAATCCTAATTTTTGAACGAAAAAGTTTAGTTAGGAACAAGAAAGTACACTCTTAATTTACTTCATACATGCTGAACAGAAGATAATTGTTTATCTTCTGTCCCTTTCTTAAATAAAACAAGATATCCATGCATATAAGCACATCTGTTTCACATGTACATTGAGACTGGCAAGTGGCTACATATTTTCTGTTGCAAACAGCAATGGCTGTTAAGTTCCAGATGTAACTTCATGCTTCTTTTCCAAGCTCCAAGGATACAACCATACAAGAAGTAACAAATATTTCTGATTACCACCACCTAACCTATAAAAAAAAACAATGCTAAAGAAAAAAATGGAGTGCAGAGTGGCAGGGAAAAACAAATATCTGAAAGGCCAGTCACTTGTGTAAACACTTGTGTAACATTAAGCCTTGCCTTGGGTCTGCTTCATTAATTGCCTGTGTTACCGATACTGATGTGCTAGATGCTGTTGCAAAACTCGTAGCTGGTGCAAAGAAGGGTGGTGTGATATGAAGTGATGCAGAAAACAGTAGAAGCTCTGTCACTAGGTCAGCTGCAAGAAGTGACGTGTATGAATGTACAGTATGTGGAGTTTTGTGAAAGGTGCAGTCTCTCTTCCTCCCAAAGAACTTCAGCTGATGATACAAGGGGAATTCAGATCCCTTTGGCAGGACTCCATGTTGGTCTGGATGCTGTAAATACTTCTGCTTCTACAGTTACTTAGCTCATGTTGCTAAAAATATACTCATGACAGACTTAATGAAAGTATCTTCTTTTAAAAACTACTTGTCTACAACTATCATTTAATGTTTTCGTCTGCATGTGTGGTTCTCATTATTCTGATAAAGCTATTAATACTGATGAAGTTTAAAGAGAGAAAATCCAAATATTTTCATACATGCACTTTTCCAGTAACTTTTAAGAAAACCCACAGCTAACCAGCCATGAATTCTCTTGATCATTTTGTTTATTTTTTTTTTTCAATTCAAGAGTAATACAGCAATATATGAAACTGTATTGCAGCAGTAAGGGCTTCAGAATCCTGGTAGATGATGTAATTATGATTAAAAATTAGAATTACTGAATAATTTACTTTTGTAATATGCAAAAGTAATTTTTTCTCTCATTTTCAATAACCATCAGTCTTAATATCTAACTAATGAAAAAACATAAACAGTGTCATCTGTCAAGTTACTAACAGAGAATTCCACTTATTGGAGCCTCATTGTTTACTTTAGCAGGTAATTTGTGGACCGGAATCATTTAATTGTTCTGAGCACATAATTACATGCCAGCATTTTCCAATTTAATTAAAATGTACAAATCTGAAGATTAAGGGAATTTTTGAATTATTAATCATTTCTCCTCTAGGAAATCTTGTTGCTCTGCAGGAGATTTGTCCAGTGTACAACTATACGTATTTTTTTCCTTCTCTTTCACAGACAGACAATTTTCCCGCAGAGCCCAATTACATGGGCAGCAGGCAGCAGTTTGTTCAAAGGTAAGGCCTATTAAATAACTTTCTCGGCTTCCCCATTTGCATTCTTGTCAAAATTGCTTTGCCAGAGAGTACAATTCAACTTAGAACAAGTAAATACAACTATCTCTCTTTCTTTCTCTCTTTTCTCTTTTTCTTTTTTTCCTTTTTTTTTTTTTTTTTTTTTTTTTTTTTTTTTTTTTTTTTTTTTTTAAATGTGTATTTCAGTAGCTCCACGTTCAAGGATCCAGAAAGAGCCAGCTTGAGGGACAGCGGCCATGGGGACAGTGATCAGGCTGACAGTGACCAAGACACTAACAAAGGCTCCTGCTGTGACATGTCTGTTAGGGAGGCACTCAAGATGAAAACTACTTCAGCTAAAAGCCAGCCACTTGAACAAGGTGAGTGAAACCTCCAGTGCTTATAAAAGCGTAAAGTTTAAGCTGTCATTATAAATGTATTAGTATTGTAGTTGTGGTTTATCAAGGTGGAATAGCCCACTGATAATGCTATCAGAAAAAAAAAAAAAGTAAATCTTGTAGGTAGCCCAGAGCAAAGAACACCCAGTATCTTTCAGAATGAACATGGAACGAAACAGCAAGTATACAAAGTAGATTAGAAAAAAAGAGGAAAAAAAAATTAGTACTTTTCTAAAATAATTAGAATATACTTTATCTCTACTGGCATTGCCTGTAATATATTATACACAGTCCTGATAAAGCGTGATTTGGAAATTGAAATTAGACATGCCTGCAACAGGTTAAAGGACACAAGTCATTTACATTCCTCACATAGTTTGGAGAAGAGGAAAAGAGGCTTGGGATATCAGACAAGAGTAAAAATGGTTCAGAAGATATTTTCATTTCATGGATATACTTTACTATTTGTAATGCTGATTTCACAACCAATAGTAGTGTGACAAGTGTAAAATAATATAGTTTGATTTTCAGTATAACTTTGTTTACATCCTGTGAAGGTAACAAAGATGAACGTCTGTGAAACAGCTCAAATGACTTATATAAGGACAATGACAACGTTCTCTGAAAGCATTCATTCTGACAAACAAGCATGTTTATTTCCTCAGACTATGTGTCCAAGTAATTTTTTTTCCAGATGTGTTTTTTTCTAATTATGAGGTCTTTTATTTCAAGAGACACTTCTTTTTCTGAAAGCATCAGACAAACTGAGTAGTCCAGTATTGTGTCTGTCTGTGTTTTGCTTCTAAGCTGTAAGCAATAAAGAAGCACACCACTGAATTATTTTACATGTGTTGTATATCTGCTGCTATTTCATTTTTTTGTGGGGAAGAAGATTCAGTGTTAAAGGCAGTTAAAAGATAAGAAGCTATATTTATAATTAAGCAGAAATATAAGATTTTTATGAATAGTTGATTAATTGGACATAGGTTTTTTTGCCTCCTAGCTAGTCTGATCTGTAGTACAGTCATGAGGAAATATATGTTTAACTTCATTTTTCCTGATCATGTGGAGATTGCAATATAATTTTTGCTGTGTAGAATATTTAGAATGCTGCAGTATAATTTATTTATGCTTTTGAAGGTTGACCTCATATATGACCTTATTTTCCAAGTAATAAATGCCACAAAAAGATTACTTTTCAGTGACCTTTTGCCACAGCAACTCTCTGCTTATAATTGGACATTGATCTGTGCAAAGTTGCAGTATTGAACTTTTTTTTTTTTAAGAAGCTGTTTGAGTGTCTGTCTATTTTTTTTTAATTTTGTGTAAGAAAAAGACAAAGTCTCTGGATTTTCTATTTGTCAAGCATAGTCATGGATGAGTTCTAAAATTTTAAAGGTTTCGTTAAGAAAATTATTTATGACATAAAAAAGGTTGGGTTTGGGGGTTTTTTTTGTAGGTTTTTTTGTTTTTAGAAAAGGACTGTGTGGCTGAATTCATAATATTGCACTTTGTCCAGCATCAGCAAGTCCAGTTGTGGTCAAAAATATAAAAAATCTAATAAGCAGATTAAGCTAATCATGTTGCTTATTTTCATTATAATGCAAACAGTTATATGGAGGTTTGAATTTGTCATCTGTATCTAGATGAGAGGCCCTATTCAGCACAAAATAACTTATTCCACTGTCTAATATGAATTACTCGTAGTCTTATTAAATATATACTGAACTGTGAATGTTACGTTCTGTCAGCCACTGAACTGCAGCAGCAGGTGTTTATGTGAATTTCCTTGCTGAGAAAAAAAAAAAAGAGTGAGTCTTGAGAGATGAACTACTTTTTTTTTCTTCTTTTTTTTTCTCCCCAAATATAATTACAAATGGTAATGACATCCATTTGTTTACTTGTATGAACAAGTGTTCTGTAATAAAATCTTTGGCTATTATGAAAACTAAACCTGCAACAAGCACCTAAGTGCCTTATGGGGTTACAGAACATTACAGTAACAAATGTGGTGTAATGCGGTGTTCCAAAGGAAATCAATGATCACTTGTCACTGAGCTTAGTATGATTAGGGTTCATAGCCCAAAGTAACTTTTCTCTTTTGAAAGATTATAAACAAAACTGTTTTCTCTACTTATAAGCCAAGTTGAAGATGGGTGAGAAATACAATATATGTGATTAGGATTAGGGAAAACAAAGGCATTTTCTTTAGAGAAAAAGTGCTTTCCACGAAAAGGAGAGGGACAGCTTGCTAGAAATAGTTGTCTTTGGCAGTGCCTGAAGCAGTATCAGAAGTTGTGGTTGTCATCATTCTGTGTTGTGCACAGGGATGGGAATTCACTATTTTGTAGCAAAGTTTCAGGCTTGATTATCGTTGTTTAAAGATACTTAAAATAGTTTAACTTCTGCTATTAAAGCAGTGCTAATTATTAGATCTTCCAACATTTTTTTGAAAAATGAACTCTGAATTCAGGATCTTGAGATTCCCCATTTAAAAATGAGTTAAGTCTGAGTTTGACATCTTCTGTATGTAATTCCAAACACTATTGTCATGTTTCTGATTCTACCCATGGCAGAAGTAAGAATGCTGGTGGTATCAGTAATTTACCTACAGTTTTGAGCATATACCCTCTTGGTGTGAATTCCAAGCCACTTTCTGCATAAAATCTTCTAGCTGTCTCTTAAGCTTACTTATGCTATCTGAGTCGGTTGGCTTACTAAGCAGCTGGTTCCATATGCCTGCTACTCTTTCAACAGAATGGCTCTAGATACTTTGTTCCATTTACCTCTCTTTTTTCACTTCTGCTGCTGAGACCTTAAACCCTATCACTAGTTAGGACAGTTTGAGATCACCCTACTTAGACATCTTACAAGAATAAACAGTTTTGAATATATCTGTCAAACTACCTATTTATTTCACCTGAAGTATCATATATTGTTCCTATTTTATATTTAAATAACAGAAAAATAATTTTGTTTGTTACAGTTTAAGCATAACAATAATCTGCATTTCTTTAAAATACAGATTTTTAAAGTTATCCAAAGCTGAAAATGATATAAAAATGATATCTACAAGGAAGGAGTACAATAGTAATATGTACATTTTATACTTTTCTTAATGAGTCCTGAATATGTTTACCTTATAATCAGTAAAACAATATGAAGTTATGGATTTTTTTGTAGTGACTCATAAATCATTGTCTTAGATTTTCCCAGGATTTTTCCTTTTCATGTCATTGTAAAAAATATCTAAGAGACTAAGTATCTTCCATTTCAGTAGCTTTGTTTTTCAGTTTTAGCTTTATCACTGTACATTGCATCTTTCTTTCACCCATTTGCTTACTGTTCACACCTGATTCCCATAGAAGGGGGATTTCTACATGTGCTGTTGCCTTGTTAATGGAAGCATAGAACCCGAGAATAAATGAAAACTGGAGACACTTCCTTGGAGGAAGGGTAAAAGGAAAGCCTTCAGCATTGGTGTCAAAGACTCCTCCAGACATATTAAATATAACTTAAAAATATAATACTTCTTTCTTTATCATCACAACAGAAATACATTTGCATCGGTTGTAACACAGTCCTGTGTGCAACAGTCTTGGGCATAAAAACTGTATCAGTGTTATAGAATCTCTGTGAATATTGTTAACCCTTGAGTTTGTCTGCTGGACACTGACAGAATGGGTGTGTGGTAACTTGTTCATTTATATTCTCAATTTCTAAACAAGAACAATCCCCGAAATCAAGTATCCTGCAGTACCTATCTGCAGCAGAGCAAAATTATCAGAGTTTTTTATCAAGATTTTTTCTGAACCATTCAGTGATTTTCATGCCATAATGTTTTTTGAGTCCGTAGCATAATTAAAATCCATTCTGTTTAACTGAGTGAGAATCAGTCTAGACTGATAAGAGCGGAAAGTTCATCAAAAAAATTTCTGCTGTCTGACATCATCCCCAATGCTTTCCATGCCATTGGGGATGATGGGTTATTTTATGAGTATATCAACTTAATGAGATAATGGAAAAAGAAGACGGTGAAGAAATATTTATTTTTAAAGTTCTCATAGATGGTGAAAGCCTCCACTGAGAAATTATTGGAGGCTGGGAGTCTCCCCAGAGCTGACACAACCTGTGAAATACTTTATTCAACATTGCTTCCTCCTGTAGTTTGTTTTCCCCTGAACAGAACATCTCCTATCACATTCTCGCTGTGCCCAGAATGTGAAGAGCTGTCAGACTGCACTACTTGTTCTGATGCCACCTAGGAGTCATTACATCCAGCAATATCATCCCTTCCAACTTGCTTACCATTAACATGGTCAGGCAAGATGCCTTCTGTTGTATGTCAGGACATGCATTCAATACCCGTTATTTACTTTCATCGGACTAATTTTTATCCAGACAAGCTATAAGAGCAATTTAACTGTATTGAGAGTCTCGTTCCTTTCCTTAGTATGACAAAATTCAGACAAAACTCTTGTGTCTTCCAACTTCTATGTACTAGAGTATTAAAGATTTCTTTTTCCCCCTGTTGCAGTTATGTTGAATTTATTTCTGGGTTTAAGTTTTATTTTTTAGACTGTCTACTAGTCTACCAGGCAATTTAGGTTCACTTTTCACATTTCAGTTATTTAAATACTGAGTCTAGATTGGTGAGTGACACTGTGTGACCTCAGGTTGAACGATAATCAGGTGTACTTAGAAGCAGAGTCCAGTTTATTTGATGCTTCCTCACTAGAGATGGGAGTGTTCCATGCATAGCTGTCCTTTGTAATGTGTTCTTCTCATACGTATACAAGCAGCTTTGGATTTCAAGCAAGTCTATCCAGGTGAACAAGAAGTTAAGGAAGCAGGTGTTTGTCCTAGAAGAAGTCAGAAAAGGAAGTGAAGTGGAATCCTAATGGAGAAAGGGTAGATTAGCTTAATGCCTCGTCTACTTACTTATCTGCCTTCATTGATACAAAATAGAACAGCAGTGCAAA